TTTAACCCCTCACACAGCCTTCTACATCAACACAAAGCAGTCTATTATCCTGTAGAGGAAGGAGAGACTCAGCCACAGCCAATCCAATATTTTGTTTAATGGTTGAGTCACTAGCACAATATTAGCCCTGGCGTTCCAGGCGGTTTGAACTGACAAGAAGAAGAGATGAAAAGAAGAATTGGGGGATGGGGCTTCAAGGAAAGATTGGTTGGAGTATTTAGTCCCACAAGAGTATGCACTGTTTCTGTCACTATTAAAATGAGCAGCAGGCAGATAGTCTCTGGTTTTCTTGAATGTGTTTTTACCCTTTGTTGGTTCAGGAGATGGCATGTCTGGAGAGCTGGAGCATCATTACTTAGACAGCTGGACTTTGACTAATCATTCCAGAAAGGACATGCAGCCCTAAAGAAGCCAAACACTCATCTCAGCATATCTTCCTCTGGCCCAGTGTGTGCCCTTGACCTCTGTGAGTGTGTGTATGTGTGTTAAGGGTTGCTTTCATAGGCTCCTTATTAGTCATGTCTGGATGATCTGCACACCCCCAGTAAACCCTGATGAATATTTCAAATCTTCTATTCAGCAAAACAATTAAATTTCATATAAGGAGAATAAAAAAGAGACAAAAAATCAACTTGTCTTAAATAAATGTCTGATGCTATACCTTACTGAACTTTACTTTTTCCCTGACCTCCTTCTGAGCTGCCAGAATCCTTCTCCAACAACAATCTTTAATACTAGGTTAAGGAACATGGCTGGTAAAGATAACACAGTAACAGATATTGCCGCAACACAGATGATAAGTTTCAATTTGCTGTTGGCTTCAGTGTCTCAGCAGAAGATATGATATTCTTATCTTGTAGGGCAGGAATTGATTGGAAAATAAAAATGAATGTATGGGCTAGTATGTCTGCGATTCTTCTATTGCATGTTAGTATCTGGATTTAGGGTCTTTTGAAATGGTGATACATCTCTGTAGCAGGAAGAGACAGTTGTATTTTAAGGGAAGATAAATGTATTCCTAGGCTGTCTTAAAATAGCTCCTATACTATATAAATGTTGCTGTTCCCCTAAGGGGGGCTATTTTAATGACATTAACAGAATTAATCCCAGTTTCTTCCTTTCTCTTTGTTATTTCCACCACTGTGTTTGTACAGAAGAATCGAAGAATAAACATGTTTGTGATGTCTCCACCGGTCTGTGAGCTGATGATGCAGCCTGAAGTGATGTAGCTTGAAAAGAAGATTCCAGGCAATGGCAGGAAGCTGACACGGCCCCTTCTATTGTCCTATTCCCTGTTATTTCCTTCCCAGGTCATCCAACTGCCCCAGAGGAAGACAAGGTGAGGATGTGCAGAGACACAAGGAGAAAGCGAAGACAAAAAGAGGATAGGTGGGGAGAAGTAAAAATAGTACTGGAGGAGGCCAAGTGCCATCCATAATTTGCAACCTAGCGATTTTGACTTCCTGCGTTGAGCCATAGTGTAAACATCCAGTTAGGTTGTTAACATCTGATAACAAAGCCTCAGGACAGGCTGCCAATTTCTTTATCTGTGTTTACCTGTGTGGCAAAGCTGCTTAAAGACAGGCAACATTATGAAACCCTACTGTTTCCATTCTCCTTCCAGTGTGTCTGTACAGATTGCAAGTGTATGTGCGGGAAAGGGGAGGATATCTGTTTAGGAAGAAGGGCAGAAAGACAGTGGCATGCATGCATGACACATCTTTCAGATGGGAAAACACAGCAGGCTAGTGTTTAAGATCCTGATCATTCATTACTATCTGCTTGTGTGTGCGTGTGATCAAATGATTTGAAAAGTGAAATCTTGAAACATTCAGACATTAACTTCATAGTTGTTTGTTTCAAACATTTTAGAGACCTAAAACTTGGATATACACTATGATATAACTAAAGCTACAACAGTTGTATAAATCTTTACATTTGATTTGAATTAAGAAAATTCCTATAGAAACACGCCCACATGCAGCAAAGCCATTATGCAGAGCTCACATAGACAGAAAATCAAAGTAGGCCAAAATTCATCTGTATCTTTGCCATGACTGTCTCCTAAATAATGCAAGACACTTCTGTGCAAAGCTTGGCTGTGTCTGGATTCTGCTGTGTCTGCACAACTCAGCTCAGCTCGTCGGCTGGCTCGGGTTCATGCCTCCAAACTTCCTACCACTTACCTACTTCATCTTTAGTCTCTTTGTATCACAGAGACATACAGTGAATGAAATTGAGAGATGGAGAGAAATGGGAACAATAAAAGCAGAGATAGCGAGGATCAGTGTGTTTGTGTGTGTTTACGTGTGTGTTGCTGTAACAGAGAAAGAGAAAGACAAGTGTAATAAGATGAAGAAAAGGTTATGCTCTTCCTCACTGTTTCCCTGCTGCTTGTCAACTTAATCATCAAAATACTTGTGACACATCCAAATATTATCCCTGCAACAAGTCTCCCCTCCCTCTGTCCTCCACCTCCCTCACCATCTCTGTCTCCCTCTACCCATCCTGACTCCATCTACAAGAATTCACAAAGCGCCAGTTCAGACATTATACACACTTCTCTAAAACCATCCACTTGGGCCACACTGCCACTGTGTCCACAAACACATCTGCATGGATAAGGACAAGACAAATTTCTGGTAACGAGGAAGGGATGTATGTTGCGGTGGGGAGGAGAGGGCTCGGTCAGAGCTTTTCCCTTTCTTGACTAGACTGCAGTCCTCTGTGTGTGCTTGCATGAGGTGTATGTGTGTGAGCAGGCTTTCAGCCTTTGGTGAAAGCGTGCCCCTGGCCCATTAAGCAGATACACTCTCATGTCCTCTTGCTCCATAGTCGCACATTCTGCAACAGGGCAAAAGAATTGTGAGAAGAAGCAAGGTAGAAAATTTCCACAGCGTTACACTATAGTGAGACCTGAGTGGCGACACGACTTAAGAGGAAGGGAGAAAAACTTGTAATCTCAGCTCACAGCCTTTGAACTTGGCCCGATGAGACGCAAGCGACCCAAAGCAAAAGGTTCCAAAGAAGAGCTCACTGACGATTACTCAGAATACTGATGCAGTGTGGAATCCAATTCCTCTGGGAGCCCAGCGGCCTTTCCCGAGAAAGTAAATTATCAGAGTCATACAAGACTACATACATACAAATATGTGCTATATGCCATATGTAAATTTCAAAGTGAAGTCATGTGCTGTGGACAAATTTTGATTTCACAAATACATTTATGAACACAGCCAGCTTTGAGCACTGGTGATCCTGTGTAAGACTGGCACAATAAATGAGGCCCGGGTTCTATTTGGTTCTTGTTAGGGCAGCTGTTACCAGATCCCTTATTTGTGTGTGTGAGAGAGTGAGAGAGGGCGAGAAGAGTTATGAGTGCATGTGTGTGTTGAGGTTAGGGTCAGGGGAAATATGCCACTGTTTGGCTTCTGCCCCATCTCATCCAGCTGTTGCTAGTCTGTTAGGGAGCAGGGGTCTACTGGTGTCATATCCCTTCCTTAAACTCTGAATAATGGCTACACCATGCAGAACTGGAGCTTAATGTAAAGATGTACTCACAACTAATGTTACAGCCATTTCTGTGAGTACATCTTAGTTTTCCATGTTGGATCTCAAGTGCTGGTGAAACTGCATGTGATTCAGTACTGAAGCTACAAACACTGTGTCAGGTTAAGGCAAAGAATAAATAAACCTAAGAGGATTTAAGCTTCCTTATTCTATCTTTTGCCCCTCCCAGTGAAGATCTCTGTCTCTGTGATGCTGTTGTCTCCTTAAATTTTTATTATTTTCTTTTAAAGTTTTAATACCATGCACACTGTTTATCGAGGACTGAAAAATACAGATACATCAATAGTTGCTTGGTGTTAATTTCTTAAAGCTTATTTTTTGCATCAACACATTGCAACAGTAAATTATTAGAGTCAACTGTGCCAGCTTCTCACAGAGCCTGAGTATATGTATAATGAAAAAGCAGATGTTATTCTATATTCTATATTACATGATCACTTTCATACTATGTTAGACACGGTGAGATGCACAAAGGTGGACCAAGTAAAAGCGTGGTGAATATTTTTTGTCATAAAGATTCTTAAATAAACTGGGCAATTCTGCAAACTAAAAGCTGCAGGGTGGTGGTGGTGGTGTGTGCGTGCGTGTGTGTGTGTTGTTGTTGGGTGGGCGGGGGTGAGGTGGGGGCAGACAGGTGCGATATGTCTCTGCCCGTTTCCCGACCCCCACCCCTAACTCATCCCTTTCGGCTCACTCTCTCCGCCGCTTTCTCCCTCTCATTCTCTCCCACCATAGAACATGCACCCTTTTGTCTGTTTACGCACTGGTCATGGTGACCACGTTTGCACTGGATCCTACTGACCAGTAGAACTCCGTTTCCACATGATTTCATCAGGCTGAACCTCTCGCTTTAGTCTTTGTTTGTTCAGTGGAAATCAATCTGTAAATCACTAACTTCGCTGAGCTCACAGCGCGGTCTCATTTCTCAGGACCACTATCCCCACCTGCCTACTTATCAAAGCATTTCGTCTTCATTTCAAAACACAACAGAATTTATTGTGAATGGGGGTACACCCAGACACGGAGCTAGTGTCCCGGGTTTAAACATCTTATAAGTTAAACTTTCAGTCTGTGCGCCCTGCATCCGTAACCACGTCTATCCACTAGAGTGAGATCGTTTCCATCACACACCCGAAATCTCAGTCAGCATAGAAAACAAATACAGCTATCCCGAATTACGCAGTGTAATTATTTGCCGCTGCCACGGTCGGCTTATAGACAGTGAAACCTCCTAGGGGTAATATATCCTTCAAAATTAATCAAACATTTACCAGCAATTAACACCGTTGAATTGTAGCACTGCAGCAGATCAGTTGCGCCCCTTTACCAGCGCACTGGATGGCTTGACGCAGCGCGCCAGTATGGATCGCGGTCCACCCTCTCCATCAGTAAAAACCTGTATGCTAAATGATAACAAAAGCACATCTTACCTGTGACCATAAGGCAAAAGACGAGGTATAGTGCAGTCATTTTAGTTGCTCTGGCCGCTGACTGTGTGGAAGGATTCACTCGCTTAGTCTGTGAGCTGGTTATGATCCACTGTGGCACCTATCACCGGACGGACAAGCGCTCTGGGATTTGCCTATAATCGCATCCAGTTTAAAGAAATGAGTTTGAATAGTCCGAACAGTTTGTAAACTCTCAGTTAACAAGGCATCTCCATAGTTGGTAACTTTCCCCGCTGCACCAGCTTCTTTTCCGCTGTCCGTTCCCTGTCACGCTGGTACAGCTTTTACCTCACACTGTGCTCTCTAACAGTCCATTTGTGAATTGGTCGTTTCAATCAGTAGGCTCGACCGCAGTCCACTTTTGAACCAGCTTGAGTATGCTGTGCTCAGAAGCGATCTCTCGTCCTCGGCAGTGCGCAACGATAAGCCCCGGTGAGGCTGCCACTCGTCCCTTTCGCTGGAGTCTCTCACTCAGTTCCCACTGTAGAACACTCTCTCCTTCTCTCTTACACACACTTACTCAAGCACTCTTCTTCTGGCAGTCTCCCTTGTTTACGTCTCACTAACTCTTGCCAGTAGGAAATGCACATTGACAGTCATCTGGTAGAGGGGGTACAACAAATCTGGCAGGAGCTGAGTCGGAGGAGCCCCACTGCCTCTGACGCTTGGCGGGGGGCTCAGCGGCCCCCGCCCCCAGGGGCCCGCTATTGGCTGATCGGGCGTTAAGGGGTGGGTATTTAAAAACACTTATTCTGAGATAAGTGACGGCCCCTAACATTTTTGGGTGGAGTAGCCCACTTGGAGACTGGAGGAGGATAGTGATGGACAGGCAACGTGTTCCATCCCTTATACTGTTGTAATCTTGGGATACGTTTTTAGCAGTGCCTTTCATGATAACTAGCTCAATTTAAACCTTACATTTTAGAACCTTTAATACACATCCCTTAATTTCACCTTATAATTGCTGCTTTATGATTTAATCAGAGAACTCATGTTGAGATTTATGAGCTGAAGTAATGTTTTACAGCACTTACTTAACTTCATGCTGAGGTTTAAAAACTATAAAGATTTCCAGGCTTTGCTATGTAGAGTACAAACCTTTTCTTCACCTGAATGAAGCTACAAAACAAGGTTTCTCTTTGTGTCAATTTTTCAATAGAAGCAAATGTAACAACAGAATATTATTTGGTTTAACCACTGATTTAGAAATAAATAAAACTTAAAATGAATTTGCTGCCTTAGTATCAGCGGCAGGTGTTTTGTCAAATTGTGTAATAATCACTTGACTCTAAAATACTTGTAAATAAAGAAATAATAACAATAAATCATCAGTTACTGGATCAAACCAGTAAAACTGTCAGCAAACTATATTTGTTGATGAAATTGTCTTCTGTTTATTCAGCTCAAACAACAAATGTTATTTAATCAAACTACGAATTGCTATCAGAAATTGAAGCAGAGTGTAGGCTCATATAGACTTGTTGAGTATTTTTTGGAAATTATTTTCTTTGAAGTTGGCCCAAATGATTTTTTCAGGTGTAGTGTGATCTAAAATGAGCCTATTGTTCACTGTCATACAGCGGGAGCTAAAACGAACAGAAGAGAACAGAGTCATTATCATATTTCAACAAAGCTAAGGCTTTTATAAAGAGATGAAAACTGCAGTCTATCACTTGCCTGTGGCTGTTTATAGGCTTGTTCTTTGATGTTTATTAGTTATTCAGTGGTCTATTGATTAATCAAAATGATGGGCCTTGCAGTGATCTGTTAATGAGTCTTTCACTCGCATATTGTACCAACCATGACTTCACACAGACACACTCACACATGTGCCTTGTTAACTCAACCAGGTGGTTAGCGCTCCATAAGACTGTGAAACATTAATCAAAGTGTGTGGATTTGGACACTGAGGACTTCAACATGTGTGGATTCCAGGAAACATCATTCTCAAATATAAGAGCCTTTATTTTTGACATTTTGTGCTGCAATTAATTAAAGGCTGAATCACACAATGATTAGAGCTCTTTCCTCATGAGGGTTCCCCCCAAACAGTAGTTTTCAAACCCCAGGGCTGGCCTTCCTGTTTATTGCCTCCCTGTAATGCAAACATAAGGGTCCCCTGCTAGTAAACACATGTTGATGGAAGAAACAGCTTGCACAGCTGGGAAGTCAACCCAGGTTAGTGTGAGTGAGCGCATGAGTAAATGAGCATGTCTGAATGTGTGTGTCAGTGTGTGAGTTTGTGTGTATGCATGAAGGAATACATAGATTGTTGTTTGTACATATGTCAGAGTGCAATCCAGGTTGTGAGGAGGTGCTGGAATGTGAGAGATAGAGGGTAGTCAAAAAAAAAAGTTTGCTTCTTAGTTGTGTGCGTACGTTCGTAAGCTCCTGGTGTGCACGTGTGAAACCATCAATGAGTGAAGGCGGGTGCTTGGGTGAGCGGTAAAACAGCAGGGTGCCTCTACCAGTTGTGCTGTGATAATAAAATCAACATCCATTGTGCAAAGTCTGTCACCCGGCACGACGCTGTGATTGAAATGCATGATCTCCTATGGCTCACACAGATGGACAGATAGATGAGGGCAAAACAGATGATAACATGCACTCGAATCAGTCTGAGCCAATAGTCTTAATTATGTTGGCCTCTGTGGCTTCAAATGGAGGGCGCCCATACTCCCCAAGCTTTTGAGTGTGTGAATAATTTATAGATAAAAAGGGTTTTTTCAGCTGTGGGTTTATTAATAATAAATATGGTTTGATATTTACTAAACTGTTCAGAGGGAAAAAGGGGTGACAGTTAAGACGCTGTTTGCATGGTAATTGTAAGAAGGTAATAAATAAGGCACGAAGTGGAGATATATGGAAATGTAATTCACAGGGAAATGAGAATAATTTAACTAAATATTATGCCAGTCCCTATTTGACCTGGGGTCAATTAAAAGAGAGATGTCAGTTGTGGTGAACGCCATGCTGGGCCTTAAAATGGCAGTTGCTTGCTTTCCCTTTTGTCTGGCTGGAAAGTAGGTCTAATGTTCAAGTGGAGGAAAATGTATTCATAGTGACACAAATCATGTTTAGTTGGAATGAATATTTAACAGAATAAAATCAAGCTCATTATCTGCCGCAAGAAGAAGAGATATTTCTCTCTCTAAAGTAACCCCGATACTGAAAGAACAAGAAGTTGAAGAATGTGAGGTTTGTTTTGTTTCAAAACCTTCTACCACTGTGGGAAAACTCTATGTAGTTTTCAATAAAAATACATATAATACCTGTTATATAAGCTTATGCCATAATTTATTGTTAAAGCACTCACGTTCTTTTGTTTCTTTCGATTTGAATTTGTATCATAAATAAAAGGCTTGGGATTTGAAATACAGCCAGCTAGACTGATGAATATTTGCATTTTGCTTTATATGTTTTAGTGTATGTCTATGTTGCACTGTTTGGGCTCCTCAAGGGGTCTAAGGTTTATGCTGCTATCCATAGGAGAAACATTACACCAGCTTTTACTGTAATTGTGATATTGAATGTTGAGCTGATGTGTGTCAACTATAACTCTAAATGCCACTCCAAGCTCGTAACTCATAAGGACATATACCTTTGCTAGGCAGTGGGATCCATCTGCCCTGCTCGCAAGCAATTCAAAACCTGTCTCCTCTCTCCCATTCCAATAATATAACGTCAGTCTGAGCTGTGCTGGTTTGAAATGTGCAATTAAGCATTTTCTTTATGTGTGATTGACGAGCGGGAGGAGGGTCATTAAAGCCCAACATGGACCCGGGGCTCACTCTACAGTCTATAGGACTATTTCCAAGCTCATATCAAATCCATGCCCTGTACCCTAATATCAGAATATGACTCTGGCCACCCATGGATTCAGTTTTTGTCTGTAATAAAAGTCTCTCTGGGGATCTGGTTGAGGGATTCTTTTACTCAGGGGTCAAGGAGAGGTTGAGGCTTCTGGTTCAAGCTGTGCTTTGAAAAGGGTGTGGATTACAGGAATGTGGCTGTTGAACTCAGACACATGGAAAATATCTGCAGTCTGATATTGCAGTGCTTATTACTATAATGACTCTATGGTATAGGCTCACATGGCAATAAAGTCATTATTATAAAAAAGGAGGTGAAGCTACAGACCCTGTAGCTGAGATGAATTTCTAAGTTTTGACAAAACTGTCAGAGTTTGAGCTGTGAAGAAGCAAAGTTTGTCTCCATCTGATAAAAATTCATCCAAGTTAAAAGTGTGTTCGACTTCTCCTCCTTCTTTGTGCAAGCCAGCACTTCAACAATCCCCGTGTGCATTTTCCCTCACGTCTCCAATAAAATGATTACAACATCCCCAAAATTTAAGATCAGATTGAACGGATCCTTCGCCAGCCTGGCTGTGTCTTCACTGATAACTACAGCAGTAAGCTGTCTAAAATATTCATGCACTGATGCAGAGTTGTTGTCCCTTGATGTGCCTCACCATGTGCAACATCTGTTCCTGATGTCATGCGCGTTCCTGTGTGCCAAACATGCCCTGATGGCGTCCGTGATATCGCTGCTGTACTAAGCCATGTCCAGACACAGCCAGCTCTACTCAGCTACGATAAATATCTGAGACAACTACGATAGCGATCCGGTCGCCTGAACAGAATTGTTGAGCACTTCTGCTAATCCATATACATAGATTTAGCCACTGCTGTCTCACACTGAGATCAGCAATTCTGCCACTCACTGATGAATGTGTCACTTCGCTCTATCAACAGTTTATGGTTATTTAGTGAATGTTCCACTATGTGTCCATAGGGGAATAACGTAGTAGTGATACTAAATGCTTTGTAAGCTGACAACACACATAAGCTGCAGTCAGCTCAACAGCGGTCCAATTATATTCCAACAGTGTGTTTTTGTTAATGTAGTGGGCATCATACCATTAAAAATGCAGGTTAAAGGTGTTCAGCCACATTGTAGTGACCAACCCACTGACCTTTCATGTCAATGACATGAAATAAAGACAATAAGAAGGAAAGAGACAGAATCAGTGAAGGTAAATCCTGCACTAGCGTGCAGTGTCCAAACCAGGCCACAGCTACAGTCACAGCTTCCTTCACAACTGAGTTTGCCTCACTGTCTGCTGACACTCACATGAATAGGCCACAACTGGCTGCTTGTTTTGTGCCATGATCCCTTGCTGCTCATGCTGCTGAAAAAATAAATAACCCAGCTCTGCACTGCTATAAATAATGGATGACTCGTCCATTGTCACTTTTCATAGCATGTCAAGCCACAGCCTGGCCATTATTAGGGTCTGTCCTCTTCTCCTTTCTCCCTCTGACTCCAGTTTTGTTATTGTTTTGACCGACTTGCCTGCACACTTCCTGAGTGGGTAGGCTGTCAGTCTTCCTCCAGACTGGTGCAGGTGATAGAAGCCACAGACAAGAAAGAGATGATTTGAGAGCCTGAAATAAGATGGGTGATACAGCAAGCCTCTGCTAGAATAGCAACAGCAGGAAATCTGACTTGACCTGGAACAGGTAACTAAGCACTTACAGCTAAGATGTCATCCATCTGCTTGTGTTAGATAGCCTGTGCTAAGGTGCTACCAGGGCTGTGGTTAGGGACTGACCTCATCACCTTGAGACAAATGTCCTGCCTCCCATGGAC